GAATGATGCACAGAAGCAGGAGGAAGGAAAAGTAAGAAGAGAGACTTGAGGTGAAGCCAAGAAAGTTCAATCAAGTCCCGTGGGTACAGGAAAACACCCCTGTATGCTTATGCTGGATATTGATTAGCCAACAGGCCTGACCCCTCTACACACGTTCTGCTTTGCGTTGGGACTTCTGTGGGAAACAAGGCTCTGCTCCTGAGGCCCAATGGGCTTGTGGGGGCCAGTATGATGGGTTGGCTGGCTGAAGAGACGCTGCTGGCCTGTGTTGGTTGGCCATTGTCTTTATTAAAACAATGCTTATAACCACCATACTGCTTTTCATAGGGAAGGTAACTCATTGAATGGCCAGTAGACAAAGAGAGTTTAAAGATGTAATGTCAGTAACGAGGCTTTATTCCATACAGATTTCCGAACGTAGACATTACATTCTAGCTCACCGGAAACTAGACTACTCCCCAAATCTTCAATTCATTTTAGAAATAGGAGTAACATTTACTTGGAGTTCAAGTGCAAATGTTGGCTGATTTTCGAGAATGTGGCCACACGCCCTTTAAGCTTAAGTGTCTGTTCCATCTTATCCAAACATTAGATAGGCTGGCAACATTCCCAAGCAGTCCAACTTGAAAAAAACCACTTCCATGACTTATTAACAAGCTGAGCATAATTTTCATAGGGTCCATTCATCCAGATTTATTACCGAACACCACTTAATAAGAAAAAATTAAATGGATCAACTGAATTCAAGTCCTTCTGTAAAGGGGGCCATTTAAGTTCTCCTTTGATTAATGTTAGCATTCAAGGGCTTGTCACTCTCAACCACTGGTTACTGCATTTATCAAATAGCAGGCTTTCCCTTTAAACAAAGTCAGCTATAAATCCCATCTCCTGTTCTTGAGCTGGCTTTTTTTGCATCAGGTGTTTCCCTTTCAGTCCCTGCCTTGCTCTGGCCATGGGCTGCTCTTGTGCCCTGGCCTTAGGTTTGGGTGAAGAATGCAGTGGGAGATCAGGGTTATTCCTGCCTTTCTCTCTGAGGCTCACCACAACCGTCTGTTGTACCTCGGGTCTGGAGGGGCCTAACTCTGTCACTTGGCTTTCTTTGTCCTTATTGCTCCTTCAAGCTGGTGACAGAGCAAGAAGACTACTCTCTCTCACCACTATGCTAGTCTTGTGTCTTAATTTCTCCTAATTGGAGAGTGCTACGTACTTCATGCTGGAATCATTATGGATACAAACACACAGGTGATGAACAGAGAAAATAACAAAGAGAACAAACTGGCCCAGTGGAAGCATTGGAGTGGAAAACCTCTGGAGTGAGGTACCCCAGGCCCCAAGGCCCATTTTAACCCAGCTTTTTACAGGTTTAGCTCTTTTGGGTTCCAAGTCCCAGGCCTCTGAAGGACAGGCAGAGAGCACCCTAAAACTGCTTTGGGTTTTCAAGGGTAGCAGTCATAGACTGGGCAATGGGTGACGGAGGCTGAGGGACGTGTAGCATGGTGGTCACAGGATCAGTGTAGCTCTGACTAGCCCATCACCCACTTTATAGCAGGTACACATTCTAGAAAAAAAGATGAATGGACTCAAGGATGTACAAGGGGGTGCAGGGGGTGCTTTCCCAAGCAAGCTATATATGTGATGCTACATAAGCAGTCTGGTGTGTGTGTGTGTTTCCCCTCTGTTTTAGAAATGTCTGTCTTGCCAATTTTCCCCTTATATGCCACTTTAAAATAAGACAATGCAAAGGCATGGCAGCGGCTTACGGCTGAAATGCAAGCTTCAGAAGACAGTGTTTCTTTTTTAGACTGCATGAACTTAGAAATGAGCAAGTTTTTTTTTTTTTCCCCTCACTGATGTTGCCAATTGAAAACAAGTCTATCTGTGGAGAGGGCTGGGCCTTTGGTCCTGCTCCTCAGTGGGAGTGGGGAGGTACTCACAGAAGGATGCCAGGCACCAGCCACTGTGCAACTTCTGTTTTATTTTGTGTGCTTTTTTTTTAAATATAGGATATAAATAATGACAAAAATTACAAAATTTATAACTGGAAGCCCAAGCTTATTTACACATATGCTTGTGTTTCAGCAAAGCTACTGGCTGCTTTGCTCCTGTACAAGCTCCTTTTGGTACCATATTTCAATGTTATTCTCTTCTCTGTTTACTACATACATATCAACAGTGAATAGGCAAAATATATACAAGGAACTATTCAGTTCAAGTAATTTAATATTGTATTAAAATTCTTCAACACTGAACTAAAACCATATACATTTGTCAGTTGAAATGAAATTTAGTTTTTCTTCAAAACTCACCAACTGATGATTGTGAGAATCTCAGGTTTAAAATAATATTGGTTAATAAAAAAAACATTAAGACAAGTTCACAATTTATCAATATCGCTATAATGAACTTCAAAATGATTCACAATATGATTGGTTAGAACAATATACATTAAAATGTTATTTTTCTATAATGATATTGATCCTGTTTATATAATTTGTTTCTACAGAAATATACATTATGGTATCATACAAATACTTCACAGAGACATTAAAAAAATTAAAATACCTTAAAGAAACGTAAGTAAATTTGTTTAATCAAATAGTAAGCAAACATTTTTTTTTAAGTCTGTTTCAAGAAAAGTTTTTATTACTTTGGAATTTCTTCTTTTTTTGTGTTATTTCTTTTTTTCTAGAAAAGAATTTTGCAGTAGAATTTTATTAACATCGTTCTCAAACAAGGTTTCCTTCACAGAAATCTTGACCTCAGGAGCCCTAAGTTTTCTTTTTTCTTTTTTTGTTAAACATGTTCTTTAAAACACCTTGAAGGCTAAAACAAAACAAAACAAAACAAAAAACCCAAAACAACTCCAAATAAACCACTTATGCAGGCTATGGCTGAGTCAGCACTTCGGGTCACCCCAAGCACCTGCCTGATCTTCTGCTCTTGAGGCAAGGGCACCAGGGGTTCTCTGTAACAGAGCCAGGTCCTCAGGGCAAGTAGCCGTAGGAACGTAGTCATTTGAAACGAAACCAGAAACATCCCGCACAACAAACCTAGTTTTCTTATGAATGCATTAATGAAACATTCTTTTAATAAAAATATTTAATACAAGACACATTTTTTCTGTGCATAATAAATTCCTCTGTTTTAAATCACTTTTTAAATTTTTTTGAATCATTCAATAAAGGTTTCCTTTATCTGACATAGTTGATTACATATAAAATCCACAAATATAGAAATCGGGTCGGGGGGGCAGAATTTCCTGGTGAGGGTTGCTTTGTCTTTTTGCATGAAATTGTACTCAGTGATAGAATGACTTTACAGGTGCTTTTGGGGGGGAAGGGGTGTAGTACTGTTCTGACTTTCCCTTCAAAACGGCTGACAGTGAAAAACTTAAACCCAAGATGTTTAAGACTTTTAGGCAGTACTGGAGACCCTCCCTCTTCCCACTCTTCACTTTTAAAAAGGTATTTCTCCCCCCAACTAAAGCAAAGCAAGTACGGGGCAGTTGAGCAGTACCTCGGAGGAGGCGGTGGGAGCGGAGTTGGGGCGCCCCGCGCAGCCCCCCTCGCGCCTCTAAGGGGCGTCAAAGTCTCGCTGGCAGAAGGCTCCCTAGGATGGCCGTCGCCCTTCCGCCCGTGACGAGGCCACGCGAGCTGGAGCAGTCTTCCTCCCTGGGGCGGGTGGACACGGAGGCGCGAAGGAAAGCCTGCTGCGGGGACTGCTTGGCGAGCAAGGCACCGCGAGGACGGGGCGGCGGCTATCAGAAAATCGTGGTTTCATACTTGGTATTAATGCCCCTCTTGGCTTCTTGCCCCGGCTCCACAATCCACGGCAGATTGGCCAGAGTCTTTTGCTCAGAAGGGTCGATCTGCTTTAAAACAGAAAGGCTGATGCCCGTTATCCGGCAGCTGGGCGGCGGCGCGGCCGCGTGGGCGCCGCTGGAACCCCACCTCGGGCCCCGCTCGCCCAGCCGCGCTGCGGGGCGGCCCCGGCGGCGTCCGCGCTTTCGCACCTGCACTGCACAGCGACTCTGCAGGGGCCTGCAAGGGTGACGCGAGTGAGACCCGGCCCCGCCCCCGGGGCGCAGAGGCAGGGGAGCAGTGGTGGTTCCCATTCCCCCATCCATATTGGGGGGGGGTGTCCGGAAAGAACCCTACATCCTCCGAGGACACTGCGGCGCCCCGCCCACTTGCCTGCAGCCTTTCTGAGCTCCAGCCATGCTGCCCTGGAGATGGCCCTCCTGGCACCCACCCGTCCCTGTGCGAAGCCTCTGCTCTCTCCCGGTTGTTGTCTCCTAGCCAGTGTGGTCCAGGTCTTGGCTCCACTACTTCCTGTCCTAGAAGCTGTACCCGCCACACCCTCTACACAAAACGGCAACTCAACTTTTTAGCTTCTCCCTTCCAATCTCTTCCCGACACATACCACCTGTCCACTCCGTCTTCCACAATGGATGCCCATAAAGGTGGGCTTTTGTTAACTTTATTGCTATTTTATCCAAACCTGGGAAAGTTCTTGGCAGCCCAATGCAAAGCAGGCATATAATAAATAATTGTACAGTCCATAAACGCTGTCTAGACAATGAGTGCTCAGCCTGGATAAGGAAGGGACTGACAGAAAGCAGGCACAGATCCCAGGGGGAGAGGACAGTGGCAGAGAGGGATGTACCCCGAGACAGAGGAAGGGAAGAGGTCAGCAAGGGCCTGTCAGGCTGGGCCTTGGTGGACTGTGTCCTGGGTTCAGTTGCCCTTGCGCTTTACCTAAGGCTAAGCTTGCCACTCCCTGGGCAGTAGGTAAGGCCTGAGCTCTGACGGGCCTCAGTGAAACTCTTTCCCCAATGGCTTGCTCATCCTCTGGGCATCATCTATTTGGTTTTGTAAATTGGGCCAAGAAGTTTCTGGAAGGCCTGCTCTGTCTTCCGCTACCAGTTTTTAACCTCCTGGAGGCTGCAGGGCCTATCGGGCTGCCTTCTGCCTCATTTCCACTGATTCTTCAGAGGATGAGGGAAGGTCTTTTAGGAGCACTGTGCATTTCTAACAGTAAACAACCAGAGCTGAGGACATGGGAACTCTGAAGCCTGGTGAGGGCCCGGATCGGGAGCCAGGTAAAGACTGGGTAGTCTCCTGTTTCCCAGAGACGGTATCTAGATGAATATTCTGTGAGCCCTTATGGCAACAAACCCTTTGTGCTCCTCTGGAAGGAGTCTGCGTGGACCGCAGCAAAGCTGGAAGGAGGTGCATGTGGTGAACAGACTTGTCCAGCCCACTCGAGAAGGAATGTAGTAATCTAAGTGACAATCCCCGCAAACATTCTGGGCATTCCTGGACACTCAGAAGCCTAATGACCATGCTCAAAGACACATTTGTTAAGTCCACCCCTACCACCTCATGTCTTGGATGGCAGGTTTGTGGTGAGTGCTGAGATGGGCCTGGCCCTTGGGTGACAGCATGCCAGTGTACTTCACGGAGCAGGTATTATTTTGTGCAGGAAGAGAGGCAGAAATAAGCGGTAAGTAGAAAGCTCAGGCACTACTACACAGAACGAAGAGGGGCTACAGTGTTGACCAGGCATCTACGCTGGTTTTCGGACAAGCTTCATGCAGCTAAAACCTGAATGATACCATGGGGCCCGTGCAAAATTCGGGCATCAGGGGAGGTGGAAGAGAGCGATCACGGGTGGCATAAAAACTCCAGTGGGACTGAGCAGCATATATACTCAAGGAATGGAGGGTCTGGGCATCACAGCGTGTGATGGGGGTTAGGTTCGGGTATTTTTAGGGTACCATGGTCTTTGCTGTGTGGAGGGAGTCACTGGGAGGGGTGTGCACTGGCCTTGGATTAGGGGGGTAATGAGGGAAGTAGTGAGGCTGGAGCAGGCTGGAGGTGTGTTTGAGGAGAGCAAAGATTGGTTTCTGCTCATGGGCTGGATGTGGAGGTGCATGTATATCAGCAATCAAGGTGACTTAATTGGGGAGACTCTAGTGACAAGTAGCATGGTGAAGTGTTGTGTCATTTACTGGACTGGGGACAGGGGGTAGAGAAGAAAGGATCTGCACTGGCTACGCTGGAAGGCAGAGATGCTTAGAAACAAACTGGACAGGGTTTTGTGGTGTGTCAAGGACGGGAGAGAGAGAGCAGGGGGCATGGGCTGGGGAGGTGCTGAGGCAGGAAGGTCAGGGGTAGGAGTATAGCGTGGGATTTGAGAGGTGCAGCAGCCGCTGATAATGACCAATCAGTGGAGGCCTCCTGGGATGCAGGAGGACAATGGTCAGGGACTTGAAGAGGCCAGATGCTGAGGGATGATCCCATGGGTGCTGAGGTGATCAAGAGCAGAGACAGGAGAGGGGCCCCAAAGGTGTAATCCAGAGAAGCCACATCATCCCAAGGAAGGAACCTTTCTTTGGAGGTTAAAAATGTCTATTTCCTCATGACACGGAGGCTGAGAGCTGTTGGGAGGAGGAGGAGGAGGAGGAGGAGGAGGAGGAGGAGGAGGAGGAGGAGGAGGAGGAGGAGAATGCAGCAGATGGGAAGATTGCGGGGTGAGGGGGGCAACGCATTCTGGGGGCCTGCCCGGTGCCAATCCCAGAGATTCTAGGATGCAGGATGGTAGCTGGAACAGAGAGCAGATGGGAAGCTGGCTGGAAGCCTTCCAGCTTTGGGGTGTTGCTACTACCAGAGGCGGCCGCTTTGAAGTCATACCAGCCTGTTGGGACAGGATGTCTGCGGAGCCTGTGGGAGGGAGGGAAGGGAGGAAGTTCCTGGAGGGAGGCAGATGACAGGGAGGAGGGGGGTATCACCTTCTAACAGTTACTAGGCTGCGGAGGGCTTCAGCTGTCCAGAGGGAAGGCACACAGGCTGTGTGTGGCCCAGGCATCTCAATGATGAGGATGCCGTGGCCTCCTGAAAGACACAGAAGCTGTGGCATCTAGCTTTTGCCAGGAGGGTACCAGGGTATCATCACCTTGAGCCTCTGTACATCTCTCTGGAGGGCAGAAGCTTGCCCCCTGATTGAGTGGTAGGCGAGGCCTCAGAGAAGGCTGCCTCCACACTTTCCTAGGGCTTCTGGTGAGTTGGGTCAAAACCAGAAGCAGCAGCTAGCGATCCTAGCTCTTGCAAGGCTGTTGCTGCAGGTGGCAGAGAGCATGTGGTCTTCTCTGTTACCTTTGGGTTCTGGGGAGAGGATTCTTTGAGCCTTCAGGAATGATGGTCACATGCCAGCAAGGAGACCATGGGAAAGGACAAGGGAGGGTAGGCTGGATTCTGAAGGCCTCCATCTCTGCACCGGGTCCCCTTCCCTCTGGTTGCAAGCTTAGAGATGTCTCTCTCACGTACTTACCACTGACTTTCGAATGCTAACTCGGGGCTTAGGGATGGGTTTTGAGGGCTTGTTCTCAAAGCTTTCTGGAAGTGTGGAGGAATGGCCCCCTTTTCTTGCTTGTAGAGCTAGCTGGTAAGCGACTTCGAATGCCTGTCCCAGCGTAAGGATGATTTCATAGGCTAAATTCTGCAAGAGCAAACAAACAGACAATAAAAGCATTTACTATAGGCACACAAAGGGTCAGAGTGAGTGGATGGCTAAGGAACAGCGTGGACCTTGAACTACCGCATTGGCAGCTGCCGTGACTCAGGGATTCTGTTAGAACAGAACAGGGCACTCTGGACGTTAGCCACTGAGGTAGTATCCTTGTGTGGAGTCAGGCTGCCAGACCTCCCCTATCAATTCCTTATAGGCAAAGTCTTCAGGCAGCCCACCAGCCCCGGGTGCTCCTCCAGGTGCAGCTCGCTTGTGGGTGGCTTCTGTGCTCCTGAGACTCGGATGGGGAAAGGGGTTAGGAGCAGTGTCATCCCTGGGTTTGGAGCATCCCAGTCAAGCCTGCAAAGATGATCCCACATGCTCCATGGGAGGTGTTCCTGAGAACTTTGGGTCTTTTTTACCTCAAACATCTGTGATTCAGTGAATCTATGCAAAACACAATCAGAATCTAATTTAGGCCGGGGGAGAGGCATTAGTCACGCCGGCGTGGAGTCTCACAGTTACAGCAGTGAGCATGCAAACATTGTTCAAACAGAGCTAATTATCTGTCTATTTCTTGAGGTTTTTTTTGCACTCCCCAAGGGTTCACGGTCTATATTTTATCATCAAATCACCAAGAGATGAGTTTGTCAGGCCAGGATACCATATCAAACCTCTCCTGGGACGTAAGTCCTTTGCACAGACCGGTTCTCTCAGGGCTGTTCCTGCCATTCGTCACATACTTATTTTTGACTTCTGCTTTCTCTCCCACATGCAGCTTCCCCTTATCTTCTCCCACAGGGACAACATGACATTAGCCCACTCAAAGGCAGGATCTGAGCCACAACATCTCTACGTCAGAAAGCATCATAGAAGTGGGTGCCTACTGGTCTACCCAGAACGTGCCCGGGGATTGAACCTGTGGCCACACGTGTACCTAGCAAATGCTCTACATTGAGCCACACCCTCAGCCTGAGAATGTTCTCAGTGCTTGCTGCACGGGCTAAGAACAGCCACCGTCTGTCTCAAGATTTTCATTCTGTGATCGTCCCTACAGTCTGTTTTTTTTTTTCTTCCAAAAGCACTCTGCTTCTGCTGAAAGTACATTATGCCTTTCTGTTCTTATCCCTCCACTCCTTCCCAGCATGCTTTGAGAAGTGTTAAGGACTCTTGCTGTCCTCAGCACTCAGCAAGGATGGACGACATGAGGTGGCCTTCCAAGGCCATGGGGAAGAGTCTCACCAAGTCTGGACCAACCAGACTTTAGGTCAAAGCCCTATCAAGTGTCCTGGTCTTGAACCCAAGTGGAGCAATGCCTATGATCTTGAGAGCTGGTGGGACAGAGGGTGAGTCAATCCCTATGCTTCTATCAGATGGACATTTGATCCTGTCATCCTGTCTCACGGCTAGGCCATACACTTCCCGGCGGTGAACAGTAAGCCATGTTTGCTTCCAAGGATGAGTCAGACAAGTAAATTAGCAACACACCAACAAATGACAGTGGAGGAGGAATGGGAGGCAGCTCTGACCATCATTGCACAGAGAGGGCTGAGCCCTTTCCTCTGCCTACACGCTGCCTACACTGTGCACACATCATTGGCAGCTTTGCCTCAGGGTGGCGGTGGAGGGTGGGAGCAGGGCAGGGGCGGGAGGGGGGAGGGGGAGGGGCAGAACTGGGCTGGGCGTGGGGTCTGTGGCAGTCCAACTTCTGTGAAGGTGACTGATGCCTCACATGAAGCAGACACTTGTGTTCTGGCTCTGGTGAAAGCTAATAGCCAGCCTCTGCATGCAGGAGCGTAGGGGGCCAAGGCCTTCACCAGGAGCCTCAGCCAATTTCCTGAGTGTGAGAGGTGTGTGAGGCCATGGTGTCTCCACATGGAAGTCGAAGCTGCTCCTTTGAGTGGCTGAGGCTTCCAATGGTTACTACGGGTTACGATAGGAAACCAAAACTTCTGCATGACACAAGGTTAGAGGGTTGGTCCTCTCTTTTTAAATGAGTGACTGGTGTCAGGAAAGTCCCCAAGGAAGAAAAGGAGGGAGACCAGGCCACTCAGCCCCCAACTGGCTTTGAACTTGTGGCAGTCCTCCTGCCTCAGCCTTCCCAGCCTTGTCAGCTGGGATGACAGGTGTCTTGCCCCTCCTTCCCTCTCTCTTTCCCTCCCCCTCTCCCTCCTTCCTTCCCTCCTCCTCTTCCTTTTCCCTCCCTCCTTCCCTCTTCTTCCTCTTCCTCCTCCTCCCCCCCACCCCCCCACACACACAGGGTTTCTCTGTGTAGCTCTGGCTGTTCTGGGACTTATTCTGTTCTGGCTGGCTGGCCTCAAACTCACAGAGATGTGCCTGCCTCTCACTCCCAAGCGCTGGTATTAAAAGTGGGCACCAGCCTGTTTTTTATTTTTTATTTTTTTTAACAGAATGCTTTAGAATGTTCTTCTTTTGTGATTTGGGAAGAACTGGACATTGTTACCTTTCTGTCTTTTCTGTAGCCTTAATGTTTGAGACAAGGATGCTGGATGGGAGGGAGGGAGGAATGGAGGGAGGGAGGGAAGAATGGAGGGAAGGAGGGAGGGAGTGAGGGAGGGAGGGAGGGAGGGGAGGAAGGAGGGGCCTGCAGTGAAGGCTGCTCTGTTTGTCTCAGTGTACCAATGTAGCAGGGAACAGGTGCTGTCAGGTAGGACCTGAGGGCATTCCATCCACCCCCTCCCTTCTTGCTTTCTACTTCCTTCCTCCCTCCCTTCTTCCTTCCTTTCTCCCTTCCTTCCTTCCTTCCCTCCTTCCTCTCCAGGGATGGAAGCCAGGGCCCTGAGCAGGCAGATGCTCCTACTGTGGAACCACACCCTCACTCTGAGCATACATGATCCAGTGTGTTTGCTGCAGGACCATTCTGCCTGCCTCTGCTGTGTCATCCCCACTACGCACGATGGAAGGAGAACGGTTCTCCCGAGAGCTGGACACTGCAAGGCCAACATAGGAAACCGCATTGTAGCAGGACTTAATTACACATTAAGTGTATTCATTATATTAATATGTTAATTACCATGAGTAATATAAAGGCAATTTTTACTGTTGTACAGAAGGGAGGGGTCCCACAGCCTCTGCCTGGCTCTCCTGTAGCACTTGTTCTGGGAGTCCTCACTCTGTGAAGTCTGACCACTCTGAGGCCACTATGCTTGGATGCCGAGACAGCAGGAGGAGGTGCTGCGTGGTAAGGCCTGAGGTTGGACCAGTCCAGCCTCCTCATGTTTCCCAGCCTAGCCCTTAGATGTAGGACTTATGTAAGGTGCCATCCAGCGTGAAGTACATGGAGGAACCTCCAGGCCTAGGCAGACCATAAGCTGAGCATCTCTAACCATCCGAGCTGGCCCAAACAGAGGACCCCCTCCCCGCGCCCCAGATATGGTGGAGCAAAGAGCAGAACCTCAGAATTATGGACTAAATTATGGACTCAGAGCGCCATGCGGAGAGTGAAGCACACGCTGCTTCCACGCCCTAGTCTTGCATGGTGCTTATTATGTAGTCTATAGATAGATGATCACCATAAACAGCAAAAGAAGGCTGGCTGCACGCTCCCTGGCTCAGGCAGTGTGTGAAGCAGAGCCCTCGGTCACTGAGCTGTGGTGGACAGTGCTTGGCATGGGAGCCCAATCCTGGATTCATCCCACCCTACCCGTGGCTACTATGAAGTTGAAGTCTGGGGTCCAGTCCTGCCAAAGGTCACAGTTATTCCTTCCCATGTTTCGAACCTTTGAAGTCAGCATGGCCAGGCTCATCTCGTGTTACTGCCACCTGTGGGCATAAACTGGAATTCTTATAGGTTTGTATTTGTTACCTCAGAACTCTCAAATGCTGTGTAGTTGTGACCAGGCTCCTGCATCTTTGTGGCTTATGAGAAGACAGTCACCTGGGGCTGAGGAGGTAGCTCAGTGGTAGAATGCTTAGCTAGCACATTGAAGGCTATAGGTTCAGTCTCCTGTCCACCATAAATCTCTAGGGACACATGGCAGGTGGCTTTGAATGTTTTCTACACTACACAGTCCAGTGAAGGACAGTAGCATGCATGTGCATTGTGTATTCGGTGTGGTCATGGGGTAACTATTGGAACGAGCTTACTCTGACCCTCAGTTTTCTTTTTTCCTTTTTTTTTTTTTTTTTTTTTCGAGACAGGGTTTCTCTGTGTAGCCCTGGCTGTCCTGGAACTCACTCTGTAGACCAGGCTGGCCTCAAACTCAGAAATCCACCTGCCTCTGCCTCCCAAGTGCTGGGATTACAGGTGTGCGCCACCATCGCCCGGCTGACCCTCAGTTTTCTTATCACACTTAGCAATCTATCTTAATGGATCATTTTGAGACTCTCTAACAATATTGAGCCCATTAGCAATAAGGGCCAACATGTATTATTTCCTGTGTACCACATGCTATGAAAAGTGCTTTATCATTTAGGATAGACGCAGGGAGTCCCAATTCTGTGGGGGTAAAAAAATGGAGCACACATCAAAAGAATCACAACTTCCCTTTTTCTGTTTTCTAAGGATCCCCATATGTGGATGAGAAACTTAAGGGGCCATCATATCTCAAGTATGAAGTCTGATGGTACCCAGTGGATGCAAACTTATTTCTCTTTTGCAAACTAGGGGTGTGGAGGTCACTGGTATTAACTGTGGGTTCTTCCAGGCAGCCAGAGCTGCAACTTAACATCATCAGATGTTCACTGAGCTTGTTGTGGCCATGCCCCTGCCCCCTGGCCTGTGTCTAACCTACAGTGTCCATAAAATGCTCATCCAATGATGGAGGGGCCAAAGTTCCCACCGAGCTTCTTTTTGGCAACAAAGGAAGCTCACAGAGAAACTATCCTGCATCCCAGTCCTGAGGCTGACCTTGCATGTCCTTCCTTTTGACTGTTGGAAAACTGTATCGCAGACTGTAGGCAATCTGCCCCCATCCCCAGAAAAGTCCCGGTACCCAGGGAATGGAACATGTAAGTAAGAGCTCTCTAGG